CGAGGTACGACCCTTGGGTGGTCATGATTATATTGGGATCTAATGACTTCATGATGAGTCAAAAGAAATGGGCAACAATAAGCCATGTATGAAGAAAGTTTTAACAAGTATACTCGTGTAAAGGCAATTAAGGATTTTAGTGAGAAGGTACGATTAAAAAGGAATCGGGTTGGTTTTGTCAAGATGTGGGTTGGCAAGGTAAGAGATGATTGGTTGTATCAACTTTTTAGCCATTGGAAGGACTTTTTGCATGGTTTGAGTTGTAGCAGTTAAATACTTGTGATTGTAGAAGAGTTCGATGAAGTTTTATTTGAGAAGTTTGACTTAAGGTAAAAGATAATATGCGGTGGATGTTTGGCCAAGAAACTATAATGATAAATGATTTACGGGAAGAACAAGAGTCTTGCGCGATGGATATAAGTTAAGAGATGTGAAGGAATAAGACATCACGTGTGGATCCTTAGTTTGAAGTTGAGGATTGTGTAAATTTCTGCTTTGATGTTATATATGACAATGCAAGGTGGACTGGTTCAACACAAATGTATAATGTGTTATCAGCTACTTTCTGAACACTTGGTATTGGTGTTGGTGGTAAACGTTGATGTATGAGGAATTCTATAGTTTTTGAATTGGTTTGAATTGTTCAGCTTATGGTAGGTGGCTTACGAGTGTCCAACCAGAAGGACTTATAGCTCTACATGGTTATTGAGGATTTTGAACTGGGTTGATAACTCTATTTATGGAATTATCTAGACTGTTGTAACGCGTTACATAGATCCTTGATGGTAAATAGAGGTTGTGTGCTCATAGTATACAGAATTATTGGAGTGACCAAGAACTGCTTCAAGTTTCGGCATGAGATATACACTACTAAAAAAACAGTGTTTAGCGACGGATAAATCCGTCGCCAATAGACATATATCCGTCGCTAAACTATATTTGCAATGGATTAGCGATGAAATGTTGACCGTTATAATTTTGCTTGTAGCTAACCCCTTTGCGACGGCAAAATTGATTCCGTAGCAAGATTAGCGACGATTTAGCGACATATGATATCCGTAGTAAAATGGTAGCGACGGAAAGTTTTGTCGCTAGATTTATATATTTCGTTGCAAATTACATAAATGAATTCGTCGTCCTATAATTTTACGACGAAAATAATTTATCGCTAATCCGTCGCAAACTTTTGGCAACCAATTAATATTTGTCGCAATCCGTCACCAATTTTAATTCTTTAACTATTCCCAAAATTCGTCGCAATTTCCATCGTTAAATTTGTCGTAGGTATAATTCTTTCTATTCATTTTATTTATTTATTTATAATATATAGAAAATGTAAATTATTAAACATCCTAATAATAACAAATATTCATATAACATAAATGTTACTTCATATATAACCCGTGCACCAAAACATATATTCATCTAATATTAAGTCCAAAACATCTACACCAAGTATCAAACATCTAGCAATTACTAATGGTTAGAACTCGTAATTGTTACTGCATAATTTGTTTTCCTTTAACAAAAATCAGATAAGAAAAACTAATGCTAGGGAGAAGAAATATGGTCATCATCTGAAACAACCTTATTAGGCACCATAGGTGTTGCTGATGATGCGTCACCAATAGGAGTATCAGTTGATTGATGTGATGGTAAAGAAGTTACACCTCGTATGCGCTCAAGTAATATAGGAATCATGTGATCAGTCAATGTAGGAATCAATTTCTTCACGAACTCATCCATATTTTCCATCGGTGCAGATTGAGAAACAGATGGTGGTATTGATGATGAAGCATCAGATTGAGAAGAGATACAAAGATTTGGTCCATAGTAACTTTTTGCTTGAGTTCCAAGACCATATATTCTTTTCTTCTTTTCTCCACCTGCAGCTTGATAATATGCGTCACGTTGATCAATATCAGATTCAGACTCAATTTTCTCACGTAATATTTCTTCATATCTTTCCTGCAATAAGTAGAGACATTAAAATTATAATAAAGAATACTAACTATAAGTTTCTCCAAATAAAAAGAATATGAATGTCAAAAGTCGATAATTTTATAAATTCTACTTACATGAACAATTCGTGCTCGCTCATCAACAAAAGATTTTCCATCGTGATCATGTGTGTGGACGTGCAAATGGAGCTCACTTGGTGTTGGGTCTCGACCCTTTTCAATAGCCTACCCAAAAAAAATAAATTGCCCTAGTTATGTTATGAACAATATGATATAATTAGGTAAAGTATTTCAATAAACACAAAAGGTCTATTTAATTTCAGTGAGGAACCCACAATTGAGGTCGCCCCTATGGCAGAAATAATGCTAACAATTCAAATCGTGCCTCTAAAGATGAAGGAACCAACATTTGTAAGAATTGAGATATCTTTCATAACTTTCTTATGCAAGTTTCAGATTCAAAAATCGGTGACAACGAGCCAAAAACTGTCCAGAATAGTACTTGGTGACAAAGAAAAAGATTCAGATTCAGATTCAAAAATCAAGTTCTATAATAAGAAGTTATTCATATTCAATCTATTGCATGCAATGTCACAAGACAATCTAAAATATTAAGCTCCCTTCTTCTATAAGCAAGACCCATTAAGGCTCTTACAATAAAAAATAGATTCTAAGGCAACTAACTATTATAAGCTTGTAGAGGTAGTACTGGTGAAATTTTTTGGAACAATTAATATGTACCTATACTCATGTGTTGGATATTTTTCTTTAAGCCGAGAATTTATCGAAAACAATCTCTTATCTCACAAAGGTATAAATAAAGTCTATGTACATCCTACTCTCTCTTAATTTTACTATATTACATGCTAGCGCTAGCCAAATATCCAGGCAGAATATATCTCCATTTTCTTATGCCATCTTGGTAGAGTTCACATCTTTGTACACATTCAGGCAAAGCTTTTACATGTAAAGTTCAAATCTATACATTTTTCCCTGTAACTTTTTATTTTCTCTAACCAACTATTATAATGTGGGGCTTTCATTTTTATGTTTTTCCAGCCAACATACAGTTCTAGCTAAAGACATTCATCACACTATACAATAGGCAAAAGTATATGTCAATTTATCTATTTGATTTTGTTCGCCTTATGTCCAAATTTACAATCAGAAAGAATACAATTAAGAGTTTAAAAATCGAAAGTGTCATCAATAACAATTGTATGTTGCACCAAAACAGATGCACTGCAACAACAGTCCCAAAACATAATTGAACAAAAGAAAAGAGGCACTTCTACTATTTGTGTACTATCGACTTTTAGTAATGACTAGAAGATAAGGAAAATGTATTTTGTCGAAGAATATATATTGCGTGAAATATATACTTACAAGTTTCTTACGATGCTCCCCAATAGAGATAGATCCACCTGTATGAGTTCCGATAGCAGCTTCTCTTCCTCCACGACGATTTTTTTTATTTGTTTCTGACTTCGCAACATTCTCAGGAGCTTGCCAAAGCCTCATCCAATTTTCCCACACAATATCAGTTACATATCCGGGATTAGTTCCGTTCTTTTTTATTCTGGAAATAAAATCGCTATATCGTAGTGATGCCTTAATCTCCGATTGTCTTTTCACTGCATTTTCATTAGTTGAAGAGTCCCAATAGAATTCCTTCTGAAATTAGTTTGTAAAGTAATAACATTAATATCATATCTATAAAAAGTTTATCACTTTCTTAAACTCAATTATAATGAAATAACATACCTTGAATTCTCCAAAATAAAAATCTTTTACAGGTTGCGAGACACCTTTCCAATTGATTCCATTGGGATCAAGTTCATTTTTGAAAGACTTAGCTATGAAAGTAGAGCATGTCGAAGAAGGCTCCAATCTATACAAATTTCAGGACATTATTTAAATACATATGTATCTTATTAAAAATATATATACTAATGATACTATAAGCATGGCCTAACCCTGTAGGAGTAAGAGTAATAACTGTTCTCCGCTGCCCACGATTATTGGACTCACCTTCACCAATTGTGCTGCTTTGAGTAGATGCACCCTCTCCTATTTGATTACTTTCATTAGGTGTAATAGGAGATGATTCAACATCGGTTGGAATATTATTGTGATTTGGCATTTGAACGGGTGGTGTACTGCTAGGTCCTAGTATTTGAACTTGATTTGTACGATCAAGCCCACCTATATTAGAACTTATACCACCTTGTTGAGGACTAACTGTTGTGGGAATAGGAAAAGTAGGCATTTTTGGAGGAATAGCAGAATTACCGCGACCTGAGGATTTTCCTACACGACCTGCACTGCCTCGACCTCTGCCTCGAGCCATATCTTCAAAATATGTAAGTATTGTAAGATCAACACTTGTAAAAGATCAATTATTTTTAAATAAAGTTCATCAGTATGCCCAAATGTTACTAAATTTCATGCATATGACATACTAAAAATTAGAGCTAGAATCTCCTGCAGATTTTAAACAGATGACTAAACAGTCTTTTCGAAGTAAAATTTCAGACATATAAAGTCAAAATAGGGGGAGGAAAACTATAATCAACTAAATAAATGCAACTGAAAAACAATACTAACAGATATCATTGCAGCTACTACAGCACGTCTAAGAAGTGAAGAAAGTAAAAAAGAACATGAGAAGAAAGAGTAACTCATCCCACGATAGTGAAGCTGAATACGTAATAGTACAGAAAACAAAAAAGAAAAAGTTATCGAAAACTTACCTTACTAGTTGCAGCAGTCGAAGAGAAGAGGAAAAAGTCACAATAGTTGAGAATAACCAGCTGAACTCCAAATTTTAAGGAAAATCTATAAAACAAAAGGCAACATCAAAAAATAGAAATCTCAAGTTGAATAAACAAAACAAAATTCTTAATCATATCGAATAGAAGAAAAAGTCATTCAAATATTATTACATTAAAAAAACATAAACTAAGGAAATAATAATATTATGAAAAATTACTACACTCAAAAAATATTGAAGATACAATAACATATTGTTATTAAGAACTAGTCACTATCTAAATCTTCTTCAAATTCTTCCTCATTCTCCTCAGTTTCTTCAGATTCATACTCCTCCTCAGTTTCTTCAGATTCATACTCCTCCTCAGTTTCATACTCCTCCTCTGTAGATTCTCCAGGGATTTCATGATACTTTGGATGTAACCCATCAATGGGTTCTTCCATTTCAAGTACACCCCCATTTAAATCATGTAAGAGTATTTCTTCATCAACAGAAACATTCATATCTATCTCATGGACTTCAACTTCATTGACTTGAAATGGAACATTCAGTTCTGGAGTTGGTGCCACTTCCTCATCAGGTAATTCCACAACATTACGAGGTTTAACCTTCAATACGGCTAACCAATCAATCTTTTCCTTTTTCTTGCTAGGATATGGGACATAACACACTTGTGTTGCTTGCATTGCAAGAATAAAAGGTTCATACTTTTTATACCGACGACGTTGGTTAACATCAATCAATTTGTATTGATTATGCTTCTTCACACCAACATCTATAGTTGGGTCAAACCATTCACACTTGAATAAGACAGTTTGCTTTAAAGGTTCTTCACGGTATTCCACTTGTATAATCTCTTTTATCCGTCCATAGTAATCACCAAAATTTGGATCTGAGATACAAACTCCACTGTTCATTGTTGATCTAGCGCTACCATAACATTCTGTATGAAATTTGTATCCATTAACAAAATACATTGAATGACATGTAGCGCCTATTAATGGTCCATGAGCAAGGCTACGCAAGAATTTATTCTCTATATGATTGCATCGGACCTATTTAAAAAAAGACTTAGTTAAATTCACAAGACAATTTAGGTTACATTACTATATCAAAGTTAATGATCGTTGGAGACTTACGTATTCCTTAAACCATATAGAAAAATATGCCTCAAGGCTCTCATCTATCTGACACTGTGATAAATTGGGAGATTCTTCTTGCAAACGTTGCACGTACATACTTCATTAATACAAAATAAGTTAAATAGAAAGTCATAATATATTAATATGTTTCTAATATTAGGTGAAAATAAATTTTAAATACTACCTCACAAATGGCTCAACCTCTTCACAATTTAGTAATATGTAAGTTTGAGCGGCCTTGATTTCATCAAGTGATAAATTTCTTTTTCTTGTCTCTCCCCATAGTCGACCTGGATGGGTGAATATTGATAGATTTCCTTCAAGATCCTCCGTAATACCACCATCATCATTACGGTCCACATTATGATTACGTGTCATGACATGAGGTTCAAAATAATGAGAAAATAATAGTGTTGACTCTGTCATCAAGTATGCTTCACAAATAGAACCCTCAACACTAGCTTTATTTCCAATCATCCTTTTAAGAGTTCCAAGGTACCTTAATAGATAATAAATGAATGTACCATCATATTAGAATTACCAAGTATAACATGCTTGTCATAATTTTGTCATAAAATTTCACATTTACCTTTCAAAAGGATACATCCATCGATATTGTACAGGTCCAGCGATCTTTGCTTCATATGGTAGGTGCACAGGCAAATGTTCCATCGAGTCAAAGAACCCTGGAGGAAATATACGTTCTAACTTACACAAAATTTGTGGGATATCTGCTTCTAATCTCTCCATGTCATCCACTCGTAGAGTGGTTGAAGTAAGATCTTTAAAAAATAAGCTCAACTCTGTAAGTGCTTGCCACACATTACTAGGAAGTAATTCACGAAAAGCAATAGGCAAAAGTCTTTGCATGAACACGTGACAATCATGACTTTTCATGCCATATAGCTTTTTCGTATTTGTGTCTGGACATCTACCCAAATTTGAAACATACCCATCTGGAAATTTCAAATCTTTGACCCAATTAAACAAGATAGCTTTTTCTTCCTTGTCTATTGTTTATACAGCTTTGGGGTATTTACCATTTGAATCCTTTGCCAACTGAGGTCGATCACAATAGTTTACCATATCCAAACGTGATTGTGAATTGTCTTTGGTTTTATCAACAATATTAAGAACCGTGTTAAATACATTATCAAAGACATTTTTCTCAATATGCATGACATCAAGGTTATGTCGAATCATGTTAGAACTCCAATATGGCAAATCCCAAAAGATACTTTGCTTTTTCCATCCACAAGACTTACATATTCTTCGATTAACCTCTTCTGCATCTAACTTAGTTACTTTCCTTATCCCTAAGTCACAAATTTGGTTCAAAATCTCCTCTCCTGTTTTGTAAGGTGGTGGAAATCTTTTGACAGTCTTGCCTTTAAAAAAGTTTTTACGATCTCTCCGGAAAGAATGATGTTGGTCAAGAAACATCCTATGACTATCAAACCAAGATGTTTTTCTACCATGTTCTAATCTAAAGGATTGTGTCTCTTCCATACAATAAGGACAAGCTAACTTGCCCGCAGTACTCCATCCTGATAACATAGAATATGCTGGAAAGTCACTTATAGTCCACATCAAAGCTGCCCTTAGTTGAAAGTTTTGCTTTTTTGAAATGTCAAATGCTTCTACACCTGTCTCCCACAACAAGGTCAACTCCTTTATTAGAGGTTGCAGATAAACATCAATTTTATGTTTGGGATTGTTTGGCCCTGGAATAATGACAGTTAAGAACATATACGCTTCCTTCATGCACATTCCTGGAGGTAAATTATATGGAGTTACAATCACTGGCCACGAAGAGTATTTCCTCCCAGTCTGACTGAATGGTTGGAAACCATCCGTACATAACCCCAATCTTACATTTCTTGGTTCATTGGCAAAAAAGGTATGAGTTTCATTGAAGTGTTTCCAAGCATCAGAGTCTGATGGATGACGCATTACCCCTTCGTCCTGTGTATGCTCATGATGCCATCTCATATCAACAGCTGTAGCATGAGATGCATATAATCTTTTTAATCTAGGGATCAAAGGAAAATAATACATTTTCTTATAAGGGACCAATTTCCGCTTACGAGAGCCTACACGACGCTTATACCTCTGATTGCCACAAAATTTACAAGATGTAAGGTTCTCATCATCGCCCCAATATAACATACATCCTGATTCACAACAATCAATCTTCTCAACTGGCAAACCCAAGCTACGCACCAATTTCTTTGTTTGATAATAGTTATCAAGCACTATGTTATCTTCAGGTAAAGAATCTTTCAACAATTGCATCATTTGGTTGTAACCTCTCTGTGACATGTTGTTCTCCATTTTAATGTTTAACATCCTAGAGACAACTTCAAGTTGAGAGACGGAGGAACCGGGATACAATTTTGCATCAGCGGCATGTAGTAAATCATAAAATCTTTGAGACTCAGGATTAGGCTCCTCCTCCATTGGAAGATCAGACGCCTCCTCTATTGAAGGATTGATCTCCTCCTCCATTGAAGTTTCATAAGTATGAGATGACTTATGTTCAATATTGCTTTGAAATTGTCGACTCAAACCTTGATCAAAGTTTGGACCAGCTACATCCAAAACCATTTGTCGGTACGGATTATCATATCCCAATTCAGGTTGAGTTCCACCATGCAAATCATTAACATAATACATCTCATCAATAGCATCTTCTTCCCCTTGATATTTCCAAACAAAATAGTTCTCAACAAATCCGTATTGAAAAAGGTGATATTTAACCATTTCAACATCCATGTATTTAAGGTTATGACATTTTTTACAAGGACATTTAATGTTGTCACCACTCATACGATTTTTTTGTGAACATGCATACTGAATAAAGTTATTCACACCGGTTATAAAACTGGAGAGTATACCCCCTCGTCCATCCAACCTCTCATACATCCAACCACGCTTCAAATTACTCATGTTCCTATAAATTTTAGAATAATCAAGACAATCAGAAATTTCTCTTATATAAGTTATACAATCTGGATGTCCTACAAAGAAAAGATCATATTAAAATACCTTTATGAAAAAGAGTATATCTTTGCACTTTTTAAATCATTCGCCGCCTTTTCTGTTAATATAAGTGTTCTTGATCACTGTCCAGTTATCTTAAAATATATTATTCTATTAATCTTCAGTTACAAAAAGTGCAATAACAAGAAAATGATAAGTTGCAGGAAGTGCAATGTCAAGGAAAGGTTCATACTGAAATACCTTTATTAGTTCTCCTTTATGCTTTTTTATCACTGTCCAGTTAGTTTAGTATGATTTGACCCAACTATAATGTTATTTTAAAATAGTGTACTCTCTTAAATCCCTACACATAAATGATATGATGATTTGTTCTACTACTAATTCTAGTTTAGGCTAATTAAACGTCAAGTCATTTGATAATTATAAGCCTAAAGTTAGATCATAAAATAAGTACTACACTTGTATTGTACTCTAATTATTGTAAAGTTACAAAAAGTGTGATGCCAAAAAGATAATACAAATATTACTGCAAACAATCAAGAAAGTGGTTTGAATTTCATTTCTCTTGCTAGTAACTAATTTCTAGTGTTACGATTGTAAATATAATGGAGTACCAAATAAAAATCATACCGAGGAGCTGAAAAGTTGAGAAAAGGTGGATGAAAAGAGAAGGATGCAAGACGAGTGAAATTAGTGGAACAAGACGAGATTTGAGAGCCTTGAAAGATTGCAACGTCAGCAAAATCTGTGTATAACATTTGAAATATTAACCACCATAGCATAATTATCCCATGTCTGCTCACAATCAATACCTTTCTGAAAGTTTCATCAAGCATAAAGATGGACAACCCAAAATATTAAACAAACTAAGAGAGATAAGTAGAACTTACGTAAACTTGATATAGTTGTTCTTAGGATAAATAAGCAGCAACACGTTCACGAAGAAGCAAAGGTCCACATATTCTCCACAAACTATAATAACACCATGTGGAAAAGAAAAAAATACAAACTTAAATATCATTGTATGTTGATCAGGTGAATTTCTTTACATAAATAGAGGAGCACAAAGAAAAGAAACAGAGAAGTAGAGCAGAGAAAACAAGCAGTTACTTAATAGCTATGAAAAATTGAACTTTGCATACTTTACATTAAATCTAAAATTTGTGAAAGACATGTTAATCTGATTAACCATCAGAGATCTCAATCACTTGTATCTAATCCAGCAGAGTATGACAACGAGAACTCAAGAAGAATCTTTCATTTGATATGGAGCAAGGAAAAAATCTTTAGATACACCAAAATTTGATTGACTTACTGCAGAAATTTAGGTACAGATTGGATGAAAATTTTGCTAGTCTCTTCTTGATTTACTTTCTTGTGTGTGGCAAAAAAAAGTTGATGGCAATAGATGTCATTTTTTGTTTGTTTGTTATTCATTTCTTTAATTATGTGTATGAATAGAAAATCATTTTTTGTTTAGTTTATGAACAACTTCTTTAAGTTGATAATGTTAATTCTTATCTAAAACTCTCTTTCTTGAACCATTTTCATTAACTTGTATTTAATTCGACAATGTTTGACAATACGTAAAAATTATAATTGAATCAGCTACCAAATACATATAGAAATTACTAATCGACTATCACAAATAAACATTTTTTCTTTAAGTCATGACTTTGACAAACCAAGAAAAATGAAATAGAATAAGATAGAGAAAGAGAGCTTACTTGGTTAGCTGTTCTTAGGACAAACAGGCAGCAAACACATTCACGAAGAAACAAAACTCCACACATGTTTCATAAGCTGCAATAAGGCCTTCTAAAATAGAAAAAAAAATAGAATTTAAACACCACTATATATTCTCATAAAACGAGTTATACGATGCCTATACTAAACTTTTCAAAATAGAAAAATACAAACAGAAGTTAAAAATAGAACTCAAAGACCCAACAAGCATAGCAAAATGTATTCCTGATAATGCGCAGAATCCTGTTGCTGTTCAAGCTAAACCCAGATAGAAAAAGTGACTACTAACAACAAAAAAGTAGTCTTATTCACAGTTGATTACTAACAACAAAAAGTGATTATGTTAAGATCTGGTTTTGACATCTTTTATAATATCAATAATCTCTTAAAACAAACCCTAATTGCAAAGTGTAACTCGATTATGGCAAAATCATTCTTCCAAGTAGAACCCTTGTCTCATATTTCAAGATTACCAAAACCCACAAACAAAATCAACACAAATCCATAGAACACATCTTAATATACAAAAAATAAACTCGAAATTAGAGTATACAAAAGTTAGTACAACTCACTTGATTTTGAATTCGAAAATTGATAGAAACTCATTGATTTCTCACATTGAAGAGAGTGAAAGAGCAATTAGTAGCGTATTTGAAGAATGGGGAAGAGGAATAGTTGAAGAGCCGAAGAGAGACAGTGGGAGAGCTCAAAGCTTTTGTTAGTAGAATGGAGAGGGAATTTTTGTGTGCCCTAACTTATCCCTAAATTTTTATTTTATTTTGCGACGGATTTAACGACATATAAAATTCCGTCGCTAACAAACATCTTTGATTTATTTAGAATGGAAACTAACGACAGATTTTTCTATCGCTACAAAATATAAAATTTATAAATAAATACTAAAAGTTGTAACGACGAATTTTCCGTTGCTAATCCGTCGTTCAAAATTAATTCAATTTGTCGCAGCCCTTTCGTTGTTAAATTCGTAGGAAATATTAAGGCGCCAACTTTTCGCGCTAATAAATAGTGACGGAATATACAATCCGTCGCCATTACGTCGCTATAGAATTAAAAAAAAATTGCTTATTATTATTGCGACAAAATATTTATTCTGTAGTTAAACCGTCGTTATATAGCAACGGAATATAGTCCGTCGCTAAACGCTGTTTTTTTAGTAGTGATATGATGGTTTGAATAATAGTTGAAGCTGGGTAAGTAAAGGATCGCGTGTAGTCGTCGTGATTCAATAGTTCTATCTCAATGAAAAGGTACTATGACATTTAGAACTTGGATTATTAGCGATTGGGTGAGACCCATATCGATCGTGGAATGCTTCAATGGAAGGAGGAAGGACCATAATTCAAAATTTTGGAAGCAACGATGTGTTTCTAAGAATTACTGGAAACTAGTGGCCGTCTGAGGGTAAAGTAACTGGCCGGTGTGACTATGATGTTCTGGTAGTATTGATATTGTTGGCTTTAATGGATTATTGTAAAGAGTATGAGAAAATGGATAAATTGAGTATGTCTATGATTGTTATGAGGTCGGACTGGCTGATTGTGAAGTCAGACGAATGGGAAGGTGTGTTATGGACATCGTGGAAGGGATATCTTGGGTTGTTCAATTTCGGTTTTGTATATTCTTATGTGACCACCTACCTCATTTCAGACATGGTTTTGGATTATGATTCTCTGTCTATGTTCAGACGTGTTTTTACTTTTGTGGGTGGATGCCTAGTGGTGAATCGGATGGACCGATTCATGCTCTCTTGGCAGAATAGAATACTTGTGTGGGTGGGCCGATTCAGAGATAGTGGGTTCAATGTGGTATTGGGGTGGTGGAAGGTTTTCAGAAGTTCTACAAGTGTCATCTTGCTTTTGGAAAGGTATAGGGAGGCTACCGTATGTGGCTACAGTTTTTGGCTATTTTGGTATTTATCTTGCCCCTGTATGCATGGTTCAGCTAGGTGTGGTTCGATGCTTAGGTGGCCCGTGGGCCTAGTTCTTTCGTTGCTGGAATTGTCTACAATTACGGATCCTACATCAGTGTTTTGGTGGCATCCTTAGAGGTTTTATATGCTTGGATAGGTCGATCATCAGTTGGATACTTGATCATTTCTATCTGTGGGTTAGATAAGCGTGATTATTCCAAGATGGGTGCTCGATGGATATGCATCAGATTAGTATGACTCAGACTTGTAGAAATGTGGTAATGAGAATGGAATTTATTCTAGAGTCGGTGATGATTCGTGTGTTATGAGAGCTTGGTGACTGATTTAGGTTCATCCTTGATTTTTCTGTGGTTATTGATTCCGAAATTTCTCTCGTGGTTACATGATTAGGGGTTTGTCATGGTAAATACGTTGTGGTTGTAAGATCTTAGATTCAGATTCAGTCTTTGAGTTAGTCGGTGGTTTGAAATAACCCTTTGAGGGTTAAGTTGTCAAGATTGGTTTGGGAATCCTTATATGGATTTTTGGGATAAGGTTTAAGAATGGGTTCGTTTGGAGTAGTAATTATTGAGTTCGGAAATTTCACCTCGAGGTTGATAGCGTCGAGTATTTTTTGCCTTCTTCTACTTTATGTTCGAGGACGAACATGATTTTTTAGTGGTGAATAATGTAATGACCCTAAAGGTCATTTTTGGAAATTTTCATAAAATGAACGTTTTACCCCTCCCGATAATTGCCCCGAGTCCTAATTGTTGTATTTTTGAAGTTGGTTTGAAGGAAAATTGAAGAAAAGTTGAGTTTTTAAGAGTTAAAGTTTGGTTAAAAGTGCTACTTCGAGTCATTTGGAGTTTCGAGACTCAAATCGGATTTTCGTCGATTCCAGCAGTTTTAGAATGTCGAAATGGGTCTATGAGAATTTACGGAGTCAAATTTGGAGTTAAAATGAAGATTTGAGGTCCTAAGTTGCTAAAATTGTGAAATTTTGATCAAGAGTTGACTTTGGTCAACAAACAAGGTTCCGGTGCTCGAAATGGAATTCTGAGGGCACCGTTGGATTCAGGGGGTGATTCTAAGTCTAGAATGAGTCTTGGTTGAATATTTAGAGGCCCCGAGTGCGTTTCGAGTTTTTGAGCCTAAACTTAGTTTCTTGACGCCTTATCGGATACCGGGTCAATGAGACCTCGAATTCAAATTCCAACGATTTCATTGAGTCCGAAATGTCATTTTCAAGCTAATACCATATTTGGTTTGTGTTCGGGAAGTGCCAAATGAGTTTTAGGTGAGCTTTTAAGCTTCGTAGATGCTTTGACACTATTTCAGCAAATTGTGTCAACTAAAGGGTTCATTATTAGTTTTAAAGGTCGAAAAATTATTTCGAAGGTTCTGCAAATTTTGGTGCATTTTGCTAACCTGAGATTGGACTTTTATCGCAAATAAGAAATAATTATTTACCGAGTAGAAATGATATTTGACTGGGCAAACGAACATGAAATTGAGCTCCGATTGAACGAGCAGGTCCGTATCATTATTTACGACATTTACAAAAAGAATTGGGTCATTTCACTATCGTATGAGGAAATTACGGCCTTTTTAGTGAAAGATTAACTGCTGTTTTTCTGGTGCATAACAACCATGTACTGTTATAAAATCTCATAATGTGTTCATTTGGTATTTTGAGCATATCGGGAGTTCTAGAGATCAGAATGGAGTGATTCTTACGGGTTTCTTCTTGAATTAATATGAGGGTTAGTATTCCATCTTCAATTCGACATTTTTCTCATAATTTCTTTATCTGGTTTTTTTTCCCTATCCGTAAATCTCTTGGGAAAAATTGGGGTTTTATCGATTTGGACTCCCTTTTTGATGAAAAAGGTATATTTACGATCCTTATGTTATGGGCAAACTGATTTTAACATAAAATTATTGATTCATCGATTATTTTCATCATATTAACCGCGTACAATTTGGACTTTCCCGATAAAGTTAAAGTTTGATAAATCGAGAATTTCAAGGTCGATCTTAACTCCGTTTTTGATGAAATTTCATAT